AGTCTTACAACTACGGCTAAATACTTTAACTTAAACTCAAATACATGGTCGGATAGGCTGGTATCGGCCAGTATCGATATCGGATCGGAAGTGCAAAAACCTGGATCGGGACATCTCTACTCCAGAGTGTTGTTCAGCATGGGGGTGAGTAGAAAATGAAGGCTAATCATGTTTTGGGTGTACTATTCCTTTAAATAAATGTTCAACTCAACCTACCTCATTTGTTTTGAACATTAGGATCAGCCCAATAATCATGAATTACAACTATAGTTTCATTTTAAAGCAGGAAGACACGTTTATACCAGGCACCTCCATCTGGTTGGACTTTTCTAACTTGAATGTTCAGTTCTGAAGGCTGCATCCGCAGCGCTTCGTGGAGCTATGTTAGCCAGGAACAATCAGGCAGACCTTTTGGCAGCTTGTGTGTTTAATCATGTTGGCTTTCAATGTAGAGAATGGGAGACAGAGTTACTTTTACTCTTTAACATATGTTTTATTCAGCTTTGGACTTACCGTAAATTCCGGACTATAAGCCGCTGCTTTTTTCCCGCTGTTTGAACACTGCGGCCTATAATACAGGGTGGCTAATACATGTTTTTTTCATGGCGCGAAAAACAGACCAATAAAATTGATGAGTATTCACAGTTCTCAATGCGTGGAGCCGTGTGAAAACATCCAGCATCACCGGCAGGTTTCGGAAGAAGGCATGAAGAGGACCACGAGAGCGACAAGGATGAGACTGAAGGACTTCGAGGGTTTTAGTGCGCAGGAGGAAGAAGAAAGTGATTAATGACTTTTCCTGGTCGGCTGCAATGTTCTGTGCATTGTTCAAATGAAAGTACCGGTATATGCAGCGTTATTTGCGTGTTACAGACACATACGTATATTTAAATGTGTTACAGGTAGTTTGGAGAAAAAAAAGCATTCATAATATGTACTGTATTTGTTTGTTTTATCATACGGATTAAATCAAACGTTAAAAAAATGCTCACGTGTAATATCTTTATTTGTAAATATCTCATACAACGTGGGAAACCTGCGGCTTAAAATCCGGTGCAGCTTATAAAAGTATAAAATTGATTTTCTTCCTAAAATTAGAACGTGCGGCTTGTAATCAGGTGCGCTCTATAGTCCGGAATTTACGGTAACTATAATTATAGATACAATATAATCAACTTCTTGCTAATAGTCCTGTAGCTGCTGGTAGAGTTATATCAACAGAAGAAAGGAGTCAGTAGTTTGAGTGATTATCTTAAAGCTCTTTTGCCTCCATAAAAATCAATCAGGTCAGGTTTGATTTAGCTCCCAGACTTATCAATTAGTTTCCGATCAAAAATCAAACAGTTAAAAGAAATTCAAAATAACTTGTTACTGGGTTTAAGAGGAAATGACAAACAGGATGTTTGGCGGTAATTTCTGGAGCGTCGGTGTGTCATTGGTGGAAAATTCAAAGTAGCGTCTTAACAAATCCTGGAAAATGTTGCTCCTGACTGTAGAAGTTCAGGAGTATTTTCATTTGTCTTGAGTCTTACCAAAAAGGCCATGAGTGTTTCTGTCCGTATGCCATCGCTGTGGATCAGAAATGAAACATCCCTTCTGACAGGAAAGAAACTGACTGCTGCACAGTGGAACCACTGCTGGCAAAGTCTAAACCCTGTATTGCATGTAAACCTGTGATTTCCAAACAGGAACGGCTGCAGGATGTGTTGTAACGCTAAGGTTTCCTCCACCTCTGCCAAAGTTTGTCACGATTTATAAAAATGTCCTCGTGTTTCCTCAACTTTGTCAAAGTTTCATATGCAAACCTCAGACAGATGATTGAAAAAGAACAGATTTCACAGTGGTCTGCTCAGATGTCAGCACTGGTGATGTTTTTCACATGATGATGAGATGCTTGTTTTTGAATTCAGCTTGGCTTTTAAGTGCTGTTGTTTTTTTTTTGTAGCATTCACGTTCTTGGATTTCTGAGGATGACATCTACAAGCCTCACCTTGAAGAGGTGCTTGATAATGAGGAGCTGTCTCCCACAGCTGATCTGGAGGCCTCCCAGCCTCCTCCCAGTGTGGTCCATCGCAGACAAATAGGTATTTTACAGCCGTCACACACATTATACGCCCTTTTTTAGATAAATTATACAATATTTTTTCACATAAAATATATATAAACCACCAGAAATAGTGTGTGTCGTCTAATTTTCCAATTGAAACAGATATGAATTCCTAAAAAAGGTCTTCACTATCACATCAAATGCTGCAAAGGTAGTTTGTGTGCGATGTCAGTCCCTCAATGTGCTTTCCAAGATGCATGCTAATTTCAGCAAAGGAAATGAGTTACCAGGTTTTTTGGCAGGTAGGCTGAATACAAATTAACAAAACACTTCCTGGTTTTACTTCATAGAACATATTTAAAGGTGCTCCGATCAGGATTTTTGGGGCCGATCACCGATTGCTGAAAGCAGTATTGGTTGATACCGATCACCGATCACCAGTAACCGATCACTGGGTCTATCTGAAGCCTTCCTTTTATCATGTCATATATTCAATTTTAATAGTCTTAACAAAAATGTATATGTATTAAAATTAACAGAAGATAATGTATTGTGAATTGTCAACTGTATACTTTTATTGACAGGAAACATTCAACATTTTACTTCCTTAGAAACATCTTAAAACAGCTTAGAGCTTAACAAATAAGCCTTATTTCTAAATAAGATACAAAAAATCTGTCATTGTTAATTTACACAAACTTAAAGTGTACTTAAACTTAAAGTGCAGAGCAAAGAAAACAAAATCAAATATTTTGGGATGCCATGATAAAAAGGCATAAGGTATATATTTTAGGCTTGTCCTGCGGTAATTAACTGAAAATAGAAGCCATGACGGAACAGTCACACATCTTTAGATAATATATCAGTAATTGTTTGGCTTTTTGTCCTAGCTCAAAGTCTAAAATGTCCTTTTAATCACTGCAGACATTTTTCAGTAGTAATAAAGTTTTGTAAAATTCAAACAAATGCTAACTTTAAATGGTGTTTTAGCTCCTTTAAATCTACATACATTTAAAGTGCACAGCATGGAAATCATGAGTCAATGAGAAAGAAAGAAGAGGAATAGAGATTAGTGAAGCCATTTCTCTTAAAGCTTACTTGTTAAGAATCAATGGCAGATTTTGCTTTAGAAATATAAGCATCTCTGCATTTTTGGCAGACAGCTTGTTCCTTTTCTCATCTACAATATTCCCTGCTGTGCTAAAAAGTCACTCACTATCTACACTTGTGCACGGAGCCCAGAGGTAGGCTTGTGCTGCTTGTGCGAGAGCGGGGAAACGACTTTTATTGTCTCGCCAAAAAACAAGCGGCTGTCCACTCCGTGGGATGACTGGCTCTGATAGGTAGAGGTTCATCTGCGATGATGTTGAGCTGCTGATGTCACCGCCACCATGTTCCTCGTCTTCATCCAACAACTCAGCATACATAGCGTTTAAGGAGCCAGCTCGTGGTACTTTCTCTGGGGGCTCGGTGCCAGTTGCTTCCAGGACAAGGACATCAGAAAGCAGCCCGCGAATCTGGGGGCCTGAGTGCGTCGGAGAAATATCTGTCTTTATACCTTTTTTTTTTTTTTGGTTGAAAATAAAAATAAAACTTAATTGGATTTACTTAAACAAACAAGATTTTATTTTAGCTGCGCGTAGATTACCTAAATGCACTACCGGGCCACCGTCCGTCTTCTTCTTCTCTCCCCACTTCCAGTCGCATACCAATGCAGAGCAACTACAGCGCCCCTAGAGGAATCGGAGGAGTGAATCCAACAAGTAGTGCGTCTCATCGGCCCATCTGATCGGCCTTTATGGAGACCGCCGATCAAACTATTTAAAGCCTTTATCGGCCGATAACGATCGGTGACCGATCAATCGGAGCACCCTTATTAAAAACCATACATCCTGTTGGTGAAGATTCTCAGTCATCCAGGTCATAGTCATTCCATAAAAGTAAAAAAAAAAAAAAACAGTCCTCTGGACTTTGTTTCCAAGTTTGAAGACTTTTTGCTTCCCATCCAGGAAGCTTTTTCAATTCAAAATGTTAGAAATAGCGTTGAGTTTGGGGCTTTATACAGCAGCCCAACAAAGCATTGTTCTAGTTTACAAAACATGCAAATTGAAAAGAACGAGCGGGACCACTCCTTTGGAATGGGTGTCGTTTGGCTTCTGTTGTTAGCCTGCAATGCCCCACACCTGTCTAAGTCTCTGAAAGGGGTGTGGTTAAAGGGAATGTTGGCCTGGCTGAACAGGCGGGGACTCCTTCCCTGTAAAGGGGTTGGGGTTGTGATGATAGCGGGAAGGGATCAACTCAATCGCTGCATTGAGGACTAGAATGTTCACATTTTGGACAAAGATAATCGGTGGTTTGAGGGGGGCATTAAGGAAGCCATCTTTGTCAAAAAACCAACCTTAAACAGAGGGGGTGGACTCAGAGTTCAGCTTTCAAAAACCTACAATGCAGCAATTGAGTTGATCCCTTCCCACTATCATCGCAACACCAACCATTTGAATGTTTTCTAAACAAAAACACAAAAACTTTGATTGGCTACTGTATAAAGCCTTGAACTCAACCCTATTCCTGACATTTTGAGTTGGAAAAAGCTTCCTGGATGGAGAGCGAAACGTCTCTAAAGTTGGAAACAAAGTCCAGTGGATTGTTTTTTTACTTTTTGGGAATAACACATCATGTTCTTTCCACTTTCTAATAAGAACTACTTTTTGTTGGTCTGTTGCATAAATTCCAAGTAAAATATTTGGATTCCTTTCTTTTTTTATGCAAGTCTCAGGCAATACTTGCATAAACAGAATCCTTTGTGCATTCAGCAACCAGGCCTTAAGATCATGTGAAGAACATGTATTTCTGCTCTCTCTCTATTTGCTATCTGCTGTCAAGTTTTTGTTTGATTTTTCAGGAATGGGTTCGACTGATATCAAAATAATCTGTGTTGAAATCAACCTTAAAAAAAGCTGTATCATCATCAAAAAGTTAAATTATGAATTATAAAGAATAAGTTTGTATTGAGCCCATTGTGGTGATGCCTTAGAGCTAAATATTTTTTTTACAATTTTTTTTAAGTGTGTAGGTTTAATTAACTTAATATAAATATAGGTCTTTTTCATCAAATGTCTTCCTACACATAGAGAGAGCCGTTGTACTTGTCACCAAAAACAAAAGTGGTGAGAAAAAACAAAACATTTTGCAGGGATGGAATCTGTGGAATGAGATTTCGACCAAACCCTGAACCCAAACAGCCCGGCAGGTAATTTCCATTTAACCTCCAGCAGTAAATCTGCTTTTGTTATGTAACTGCAGGGAATGGCCACAAAACAATGAAGCCTGATGAGTTTTTATTGCCAGACGTCACCTGTGTGAGTCTGAGGCAACTTTAGTGGCAGGAATGCAATCAGCTTAAGGAGCAGCTTAAGGCACTCAATAACAAAATACTTTCTGTTTTTATTGTTACAGTGAAATGCAACACAATTAATCTAATTAAAGTTGTTATTTTTGCATTTGATGGATTTCCTGGTGCCAGTTTTATAACTCAAAACATTTTCTTACTTCCTGACGACAAATCCTGCTACATTTTTTCTTGTTTTGGTCAGTTAGGATTTTTATAAAATTTACTCTTTGGAAAGTTTACTTTTTGTAGAGTTTCTTGTTTTATCTTTAAAGATGAAAATATGGTTCAAAGATTTGGGTCTTCATTTAACAATGGTTATAAAAGCTTCCTAAAATCTTTCCATATCTACTGTTGCGGGTTCGTAGGCCTTATTTCGTCTTCTATGGCACCGAGGTCAGGGTCTTTTCATGGTTTCATTGGAATTTGTTTTGTGTAGATTTAATAGGGTGCTAAGGGTGCTAAACCAATTCCCTGACTGTTAAATTAGGAAAAGTGGGTGTGATTTAATGCAAACTTCAGAAAAAACAAGGTTGGTATTTACCCTCTTTTTTTAGACTTAGACTGGGACAACTTTTATTGTCCTTTTCTATACAAAGCATATACAAAATAAAATTACGTTCAGTACACAGGGTTCCCGTGGGTCCTTAAAAAGTCTTAAAAGGCATTGAATTCTTCAAATTAAAACCAAGGCCTTAATTGGTATTAAAGTATCTTAAATCTGTCTTTCGTAGGTCTTAATTTTTAAAACCTCATTATTTATTTTTGTAATAAATACGTTAAAATTGACCTTTTTTTTTTTTCGATAGCGGAACCAATAAAAGCGTTGTTGCGGCCGGGACATTTGGGAGATGCACCATTAACTTTTTGTCTGGAAAAAGTGTAGATGTAACAAAAATTGTCTCCAGCCAAGAGTTTTCTCCATGATTAAACCAGGGAACATACATGAGGCTCAGTGTATTTTGTGCAAGAAGCGATTTAAGCTCGGAACGATGGGAATTAAGGCAGTGGAGTCGCACATGCGAAGCACGAAACACAAAGCGTCAAAATGGAGTTACCAAGAAACAGCCGGTATTTCTCAGTTTAGTTCCACCCTTGTCTCTGCAACGCCTCCACTTATCACCAAATCAAACATACTAAGAAAACCATACAAAGAAAAATAGTTGCAAAAAAGACTTAGCACTGGTTATGTTGTGGCTTTAAATCTGATTTATTTTGTTCCCTGCTAAAACAAAGTTTGTGAATTCAGTTAAATAATTGTTAAAATATATCTGTCATTTGTGTGTTTTTAGCTTTCTTCCTGTATGGGAAGCTTTTCAAAATTTGAAACATTAGTGCAGTGGTTTATGTTAAAATAAACCTTTGGAATAAGCTGTCGCAAGCAGGTTTTTCTTGTGTTTCTTGTGAATTTGGTCTTAAATTTTTATTTCAAGTGGCATTAAAAAGTCTTAAAAAGTCTTGAATTTAACTTGCCTTATGCTGTAGGAACCCTGGTACAGTTTCAGACAGTAAATAAATACTTCCATTCTGTAAAGTGCAGCAGTGATGAAATGTTATGAAAAACAAAGTTACAGCTCTTTTTTTTTATACCCTATATGTAAGTATTTGGTGGTTACCCTCTTTTCTTTCTGATGTCCTTTCAGGGCTTTCCAATCCCTTTCGAGGCTTGCTAAAACTCGGCCACTTGGAACGGCGAAGCGCGATGGGATTATGGCGCGACTACTACTGCGAACTCTCGCCCTTTGAGTTCCGGATGTATCTGAATGCAGAGGACCGGGAATGTTGTGAAAACTGCTCGCTTCTGCGGTGTGAAGACATCCGTATCACATCATCAGAGGGCCGCTTCGAGTTGACTTTTCCAGGAAAGCGGTTTTACCTCCGAGCAGCCAATCAGGATGAAGCCGAGGACTGGGTGGATCGCATAATTGAGGCCGTGAACAAATGTCGACCAGCACCACACGATGATGAGCATTGGGAAGTTCTGAAGCCATCTGATGAAAATGGAGCAGATGAGCGCACAGTTTTATCTCCATCCTCTGCTCCCTCAAGCCCCGAGCGACGCTTGTCGTTAAGCGAGACGGCTCCTCCTCCGCAGGAGTTTGACTGGACTCAAACCACAGACTTGGAAACGGATGCTATAAAAGAAGCGGTTTTGTATCTCTCTACAGATTGTGAAGCCAGGACATGGGCCCCTCTGGTTTTCTCCCTTTCCTTAGAGAACCTGAAAGGCTTTCGGGTTCAGGAGGGAAGGAAGGTGTTGTGGCTAAACCATCCCGTCGCTGAAATCAGGGACGTGGTTCCAGATGTCTCTTTGGGAGGACCAGCTTTTTTCAAAGTCCTGACAGTGAGAGAGACGCTACGATTCAGGGCAGAGAACCGAGACGAAGCTCGCTCATGGAGGGATCTAATCCGTGGCGCTCTGGACTCATACTTGGAGAGTGGAGAGGACGGAACTCCTGATGAGCAGACTCCAGTTTGGAGCACTGGGCCGACTGGTAATCTGCACAGACTGGTGCAGCATAGACTGAAAGAAAACGGGCCACTTCTGGTCCATCTGTACACAGTGCCATCAGAAAAGGGGCTGGATGCTCAGGGCTTTAAATGCACAGGTTGGTATTTACCTTTGAATGCTTGCACATGTTGCTGCACATTGTTTCTCAGCTGGCTGAAACAAGAAAAGTACGCTTTCCTTTCTTTTTTAAGAAAAAAAACAAAAACGCTAATATTATCTGTTGTGAAATCCACAGAAAGCCAATTCAGCTAAATATTATTATTGTTGCCAAAAAAGATTGAAATAATTAAAATAGTCCAGGTATTTTGTGACCTCAGATATTTACATACTCACAGATTTATCAGATTAGAAGCGTTTGAGACGGCAGCAGCAGATGGGTGATGAAAAGCTGTTTTTCTTTATGGTCTAAGTGTCTGGTGATGGCTGCAGTGTGCATGGCATTAAAAACAGGATATATGATTCACTAAAACTAATGTAACATCCATTAATAAGCTGTTGATCCTGTGTTTCTTTGACCGGATCAGTTTATTGTGTTGCTGCTTCATTTGCAGGCTGTCCGCAGCAGATTGGCCCATCCAGAGGCAGAGCTAAGCTGTGTGAGTTTACAGGCCGGTACTTCTGTGACTCCTGCCACAAGGGGGACACCACCATCATCCCATCACGCATGGTTCACAACTGGGATCTCACTCATAGAGAGGTAGGAGAGACTCATTCACTGTCTTATTCCTTAGTGCTCTTATTCTAATCACTGTAATATTATTACATTAGGATAAAATGGATCAGCTCTTCTAAAGGCTGAGTTCTGTAATAGTTTGAGGTTTTACTGCTTCCTCTGCTGTAAAGGGTGTTAAATTTTAGTCCCCTCACCTGTTATTTTCTCTGTTCAGGTGTCAAAGAAAGCTCTGAGTCTGTTGGCTCACATAGAGCAGGAGCCTCTGTTGAACCTGGATCTGCTGAATCCGGAGCTGGTGAATCATGCCGAATCCATGGCTCAGGCCCACAACCTGCGACAGAGGCTGCGTCTGCTCGGCGAATACCTGCTGACCTGCCGCAGCGGGGCCCTCAAGAAACTTCACAGCAGGTTTGTTTGTGACCCATAAGGACATATCCTTACATTCACCTGCTTTGGTTGTGTTTTTAATGCTATCCTGTCCAATGAAATGTTACCTGGACCTGATTCTGTGCTCTGAGACCTTTACTATTTTTAATTTCTGTGTTGTTTCCAGAATGGGGCAGCGAACCTACCTGCTGGAGTCGAGTCATCAATACAGTGTCCTTGATTTAAGACAGGTTTGGCTTTTAGTTGTTATTTCATGTATATTTCTCTATAAATCTCTATCTCTGTTAGCTCTAAAGGTTTGTGTTATTTTATTTTATATTTTTCAGATAGCAGAGGGCCAATATGCAGCCTTCCTGATCTCCCTGGTGCAGCACGCCTCTAATCACGTGTTAAACTGCGACCTGTGCTCTCAGCGAGGATTCATTTGTCAGATATGTCACTCTGATGACATCCTCTTCCCCTTCCAGTTTGACTGCACCACCAGGTAATTATCAATCAGGATGTGAATTTTTTTTTGTAGCGTTGGAGAGAGAGCCCCAGTTTAACAAAAAATAGTATAATAAATAGCTACATAACTTTGTTTTTTGTACGAGTTCATGTAGCTTTTAAAAAACAAAGCAAAAAACTGTTCTTAAATGTATTTCTGTTGTTTTAAAGTTTTTTTTTCATCTTTTTAAGCAATCCATTTTGTTGCTTATTGGATTCAAAATGGAGACGGTTTACAAGCTAGAAGCAAAGATGGGAATAATATTTTGTCGGTTTATAAACATCACCTTTTGGAGGATAATAAAAACACATCCAGAAATGAATTGTGTCCGGATGCGCGTTCTGTCCTGCGCATGCGCAAACAGAATAATAAGATCGGTATCGCTACATTAGGTTTATTCTTTATACATTATGTGTATATTACCCAGTTTGAGTTAAGAGTAGTAAATAACTTGCTCCCAGGAAAAGAACCGTGAGGAAGCCCCTGAGGCGCAACGACTTTTTTACTCATTTAACAGCTAAAACACTACGTAATAACGGAAATGAAAATAGTTATTTATATACATTAAAGAATGTTAAACTACATTGTACAGAAAATGTTAAAGACTTTTCTGGAAGAAATGGATACGGTTTACATTCTCTCCATTGTATTGTGTGATGTCATCATCAGACATGCTCAGAGGTCACAGTAAGGTTTGGAAGGCTATTTAAGTGTATTGCTTTTTTTGGTTTTTAGAATATGACATATTTACCCAAATACAAAAATATTCAAAAGGAACCACCCGCCGGAAAAAGACGAAAGAATAAAAAGGTAAGAAAAACTAAGTATTTCCTACCAGGAAGTTATTCTGTTCGTGCATGCGCAGGACAGATCATGTTTCTGGGACGGATTGGGTAGTGACAAGGGGTACCAACAATTTTTAGCTTTAGGGAGTGGCGGCCTAGTGATTAGGGGGTTACACTTGGAATCCTGAGGTTCTGAGTTCGAGCCCCCACTGCTATGGCCTGCCACTCTTAAAGGAATAGTACACCCAAAACATGATTAGCCTTCATTTTCTACTCACCCCCATGCTGAACAACACTCTGGAGTACTTTTTTGATATCTCAAATGCATCTGGAGATCTGGGAGGCTTCTTGCTGTCTGCTGACATTCAAATAATGGAGGTCCATGGCGCCCGAGACAGAAAGTTCCACAAAAGTCCACAAAAACGTTTCAATCTTCCCCCATAC